CGCCAGGGATGGATTCCCTCTGTTTATCAAGGACAAATTACCGCGTTATCGCGTGAAACATAGACCAGTAAGTCCCGAAATGGCAAACCAAATGGCTGGGAAAGTGGCAGACGTAATAAACAAAACGTACGTATCGCCTGTCCCCAAAGCCCTGAGCTACATCGATTTCTTCGGAGTCCCCAAAGGGGAAGGACCGAACGGGGAGATTCTGGACATTCGTATCGTATACAACGGCACTAGCTGTGGCCTTAATGATGCTGTATGGGCACCGAGCTTTTGGTTGCCTACAGCTGACACGGCCTTACGACAAATGTCCTACGGTTATTGGGTCATGGATCTTGACCTAGGGGAAATGTTTCTAAACTTCCCAGTTCCAGAAATCGTTCGACCTTTCCTCTGCATCTCAACTAATCAAATACAAAAGGAATTGGCCAAGCGTAACATAGCAAAGCTAGCTCCCGACACTCCGATAGGCTGGAACAGGCTGTTGATGGGGTTTAAGCCAAGCCCTTTCTTTGCGATAAAGTTCTTTTACCACGCAGAAGAATTTGTCTTGGGAGATCATAAACAAGCAGACAATCCGTTCAGGTACGACTCCGTTATACTCAATCTGCCGGGCATGCCTGAGTTTGATCCACGCAAACCATGGGTGATGAAGTGGGATGAGCAACGAGACTGCATAACTGCCGCAATAGTAACTTTCGTGGACGACCTTAGGGCCTCAGGAAGAGACTCAGAACATGTTTGGGAAGCTTCTCAACAAGTGGCGAAGAGACTTCAGTATCTGGGTATACAACATGCACCAAGAAAACTCCGACCCCCAGCATGCGAGAACACCGGAGCCTGGGCTGGAGGGATCACTGAAGCCAATGGCGACAATATATTCAAGTCAATAACACAAGCCAAATGGGACCGTATAATCCCAATACTGAACAGAATTGAAGACGAAATAAGCCAAGCGGACGATTGTTCTCTCAGCTACAAACCGCTTGAGAGAGACCGCGGTTTCCTAGTTCACGTCKCGATGACATACAAGGTTATCAACCCTCACTTAAAAGGCTTCCACCAAACCATTGACTCATGGAGACCAAACAGAAATGAGGACGGATGGAAACTAAAACAGAAAGACTGGATAGACAAGCTGGCAGCCATAAATGATGATGAATTGCGTAACAAGCTAATTGATTCGCATGCTAAAGGTCACCCTAACAAAGTCGTGCCAGTCAAGCGACTGTTTACTGACTTAAAAGCTCTCCGGTTATTCTTTGAGCACAAGTTACCAACAAAGATATCCATGAGAGCAAGATCAATATATCAAGTTAACTTTGGTTTTGGAGACGCCTCCGGTACTGGTTTTGGAGATAACTGGCTCACTACGGACGGGATATCTTTCCACCATGGAACCTGGTGTGCTGAAGTGTCAAACCAATCATCTAACTACAGGGAATTTAGAAATGTACTCGATTCTATAAGGAGGGAGGGGGAAGCAGGTCGATTAAGAGACGCCTTCTTCATCTTTGCGACTGACAATTCAACTGTGGAAGCGGCACTTTTCAAGGGTACAGCAAACAGTCCAAAGCTGCTATCCATGGTGATTGAATTCAATGCCCTACAAATGGAGTTTGGTTTCGAGGCTATTGTAACACACGTAGCGGGATTCCGCATGATAAAGCAAGGGGGTGATGGCTTATCTCGGGGCGCCTTAAACGAGGGAATAATGAACGGCGAATCCTACCGCTCATTCATCCCCTTTCACCTCAGTCCCATCTCCAGAGAACCCAAATTGAAAGGGCTAATCACGGACATATTAGGGGTCAATGCACAACCCATATATCTTGAGGCAATTGATTGGTTCACCAGGGGACATGATATAACAGGAGGCTGCAAAGGAACTGACTCGTTCTGGAGACCAAAAATTGTACCTGGTACTTACGTATGGGACCTACCCCCTGCGGCCAGCCGCGTGGCGTTGGAGGAACTTCGGAAGGCTCGTATTAAGAGACAGGATTCAACTCACGTCATCCTTTGCCCCCGTCTTATGACTCCTCTTTGGATGAAGCAACTCTATAAGTGTTGTGATCTCGTATTGGAAATACCCCCATCGTGTACTTATTGGAATTCTAACATGTTTGAGCCTTGTGTTCTTGGTATATGTTTCCCGTACATAAGATCGTACCCCTGGACCCTTAGAGGAACGCCGAAGATGCTCCAGCTTAGAAGGCAATTGTCTAAGCTGTGGAAAGAAGACCAAGTGGGTCCAGTCAATATTTTGCATGAATTTTTCGTGGTCAGTAGGAGGCTTTCCAAAATGCCACGGAACATGGTGTGCAAGCTGCTATACTTCCAGTAAGGAAGTAACCTTCCACCAGGCCACCGCACCGAGTAGTCTTCACCCAAATGCAAGTGTGGATGCTAAGTGGAAACAACGAAGACAAAACAGCACTGATTTCCATGTTGCAAGACCTGGAGATCATTTGTTAACTCCCTTTCAATGTGATCTATGTGCTTTTCGTAGGCTACACCAAAGGGAGCCAAGATCCAAGTCTATGTCAGACCAGTTGTTGTTAGTCTACATCCGGCGAGCAAACTTAGATGCTTTCTGGAGCCGAGCCAGTGGGACCGTGAGAAATACTCGCGGTCATGTGGAAAGAACCATCAAAGCATTGGGGAAGTTCGGTTTGCCCGGTCCCTTTTACGATCCGGGTCCTTCCCCCAGCCGCGATAGCTTTGGATTTGAAACAGCTATTGCTGTCCTAGATGATTCAAGGAGAAAGGGGAAGTACTCAACTGATCATAAACAATGGGACTCGATACGCAAGGTGAGGTCAGCTATTGCAAACTTCGAAAGAGTCAGTACCGATCCCTATTTCGGAGGAGCTTCCATGGTGTCAGACGATAAAGGAAATGCGAGTAGGCTCCAAGCAGGGGGAGCAACTTCCTATTGGCATCAAAGATTTCTTACTGGTTGCAAAGCCCGTATGGGAGTAGATAAGAGACCAAATATAGCAGTGTGCAGTGAACTTTGGAAACTAATCGTGGACAGATGCGAGGAAAAGATAACAACGTCCCCCATACAGGAAGAAAAGGATCTATGGACAATGGGGGGCGCTTTCCTTGCTTTCGGCTATGTGTTATCGCTACGAGGACCAGAGGTGTTCTTAATGGATATACACCTACTAAGATCACACAAGAGCATGCATCAAGATCTGGTGTGGCTCCCCATCTACGGCAAACTGAAAGGCGGAACCTCAGCTCATACGTATCTGTTGAGGTCCATCCCAATTACAGGGAGTGGGATCAATGTTGCTCTCTGGCAAGATAGATTGCTTTCAGTACACGATAGGCTGGGCCGACCAGCAGGCCCAGTTTTCTGTGATAAGGATGGCTTCATCCTATCACATGCGGCCATGAACGAACTGCTGTGGGAAGCTGCTGAGGAAGTCTTTCACGATTATCCCCACCTGTTTCCCAAGACTATCGCTAACGTTGATCATATCAGGACTTACATCCAGATTTACAGAACAATGAGAAGATCAGCGACCTCCCAAGCTATCAGGGCTAAAGTGGATGGTGATGATATCGATATAGCTAACAGATGGACTAAGAAGGAAGGGTCCAGGAGCCAGGACCCCAGCGAGAAGCTACGACATCATTATGCACAGCAGGATCTTCTGAATGATTGCCTTTCTAGGTTCCAGCGAGAACTTTAGTGAGGAGTACCAAGTCTATACAGAGCAGGGGGGGATTTGAGTGCTTAGTCGAGGTAGTCAAAGCCCTGGGCTTAGCCACCTCGACTATGCCCTTGGGGCATTGAGCTTTGTCAAAGCTATGGCGAA